AATGACCAGCGATGAAAGAGCCAACTGAGAACGACTTGGCCATACACTAGCACAGCTCTCGGCCAAAGTGAGTGGATGGTGAGCGGGCTGGAACGAGGTGTTGATTGTGGCCTTTTGTGAACCTCTCAGCATCTCAGCAGCTCCGTCTCTCCTGGGGGCCATAAAAACTTTGCACAGGTGCCAAAATCATTTGCGTGGCCGGCCGGCAGCTCTTCTTCGCTAGATGCGTAGAATTTATAGGCTCAAGCGGGCACTAAAAATTTAAATTGCGTCCATTTAGTGGCCAGCATCAGCATCAACAGTACCAGCAACAACAACAACAAGAGCCAAGCATCAAACAACATCAATTTAAGCGAACGCCGCTCGTTCTATGGAGCATCCTTAGCGCACACCTTTGCACATGGCCAAAGAGGCTATGCCGTTTAGGCCACAGAAGATGTGACAGCTTGGCAGAGGTCAGAGCTGTTGCCCGCCTGCTAGGGTATGTTATAGGCGGCACCTCTCGTATGAAGTTCCTGTTGATTTGTTTTTGGCCTTATGTGGCCTGGGCCTCAGCTGTGCTTTATCTTAGTTCTTGCGGTTGGTGTTGTTGGCGTGCTGGCTGATCTGGAGCAGCGATAAATTCGAGTCACCTTTGTGTTGGCCCGTTGTTGACAAATCAGTCGTCGTCGTCGGCACACGCGCTGCCCAATTTGAGGCTGACTGGAGCGGCAGACCCGTTGTCACCTACAAAGCCATTTACCCCCACGTCGACGATCGGGACCTGGCTGTGGCCGTCGCATCCCAATGGACCGTCGTCTTGGGTTTGTCTTGCTCGTTGCGAAGGGCAACACATTAAAAGTAAATTAACTTATCAGCGACAACGATCAGTTATTTTATTACGTTTGTCCATGCAGTAACACGAACATTATAATATCAAAGATGCCGATTAAGATTCTCAACGGAACTGAGCCGAGCTGAGACGAGCTGATCCGACGGAGCAACAGTTGTTGTACCCAAAGAGGGATGCGCTGAAGCAAATGCGCATTGCATAGGGGCTACAAGCTGGAGACCTTAGAAATGATATTGTTATAGATGGGACACAGATCTAGTTGCCCAAGGACCCGCAGCTGAGTCGGGCATACTTTGTGATTGAGAGAAGGAAATAATCTAATGATCATTGAAGCTCATAGCGATCGCTTGACCCTGGCTCAATTATATATCTAATCTGAGGAAAAAGGAAAGAGAAACTAAGGAAATCCCTTGAAATGCTTAGCTGGAACACTGACTCAAGTTCTGTCTAGGCTGAGGGTAAGGCAACACTAGGCTCATTGCTAATAATATTAATAATGAATAATAATAGAAAATAAGCTCAGACTGCATTGATTGGTCAGTCGCCATGCCATGCAGAAGTGCTGCGCCGGTTCGAGATTAATCTGAGCAGGAGACGGGGGCAGCTGGGTGGTGTTGCGGATGTTGTTAACAGCAGAGCAAACACATTGATAAGCCGAGTCGAGTCAATAAATTAGTGAACATTAACTGGCAAACAAACACGCTAATTAGATAGTTAGATAGGCAGCCGACAGACGGCTGGCAGCAGGCGGCGCAAAATTCGCAGAACACACAGACAGCACGCCAAATGGGAGCGAGACTATAGGGAGGGACTGTGGCAGGGGGAGCAGCGATCTGGATTGGAGAACAGCAAAGTCTTCCTGCGAGTGCGACCGGAAAAACTGGCAGCCGGCCAGCAGGAGGCAAGCCGTACAGGCCATAGTATAGAAGCAGAGGCGGAGCTCGGAGACTGTCGACTCGTCAGAGAGACAGACAGACAGACAGACAGACAAACAGAGAGACAGATAGACAGAGTGTATATTGGCAACTGCGCATTGCGGTTGGCGACTTTTATGCAGTTTGTACAATTATTTTAAGCATTCAATTGGAATTCGACCGCAGAACGCACAAGGAGGCGCAACCGCAGGATATATGCCTGGCTGCAATTATATGCATTTAAATGCAATAACCGTCATCAGTCGGCCTGAGTAAGAAGCCAGAAAGGCAGAAAGCCAGAAAGGCAGGCCGGCAGGCACTCAGTCCGTCGTCATTCAGTCGGTCACAGAGTCATCCATTGTTTGATCCTGCCAGCAGAAAGAGTCCAATTATTTGAAATGCGCGACCCGCAATTGAAGCGCGCGTCCTCGTCCTGTCAGTTGCTGCTCTAATTTCGTTGCGCCTTTTGCCACTAACCGCACTCGACGCATCGCCTAATGACCTCAACTGCAGCGCTATCAACTCCAACTCCAACTACGACTCCGACCTCAACTTCCAGTCCGATTCAATATCAATCAAACGCTTGCCGCTCGACAAATTGCATTTTGGGTCTCAAGCCTAGGCCGCGCACATCCGCTGTGAAAACTAATTAGTCCTCGCCTAATGCGCTCCGGGGCAACATGTGGCCCTCTCTCGTTGCTCCTGTTGTGCGAGGCTGTTGAGCTATTGGCGTGGAATTTTAATTGGCGCTTAGCTCGGCTGACTTCAATGAAATGGAACGAGCCTGCCCGACCAGGCCAAAATATTCGCATTCGAATATATGTAATAATATAAACATAAAAACACAAACACACACAACAGATAAATAGTTGCATATAATGAAATAATGCCAAAGCAACTATGGGCCTAGGCTCGATAGCAACGATAGAAACGAGTATCTTGATGTAAAGTAAATATCTATTGATATATAGGGTATGAATTCATATATAGAGTATACAATATAAATCCACAGACTGGCATCAAAATGTTATCTAACCCCACCTTTTGTTGCTCTGTGGTAGTAGCAACATATTGAGAGATAAAATAAATAACAAACAAACTACAATATATTACTACAACAACTACTAATACTACTTCTGACAAAACTGCGCCACAGAAGAAGATGCAAAATACTCCAGAATATCAGCTACGCAGCAAACTTACCGAATCAATTCATTCAATACTCAGTTCAATATGGTCCTAGTGCCTTGCCTATGCAGAAACAAACAAGTCTAGTCATAGATCTTAGATTTTCCAATACTTTGGTAGAACTGAATAAGCAGCAACAGAAAATTGTCAATGAAATAGATCTCTCTACCTAAAAATGCCTCAGAGAAACTGGGAAGGTTTTCTAATTGAAGAGTAGAAAATACATAAATTAAAACTCAACCAATTGCTACAAATCTAATAATCCATATACAATAATATTAAAATCCTGTTTTTTATTTTTCAACTTCCAACAATATTGTATATATATTAGTTTAAATAAAAAAATGATAAGTTGTAGATTACAAAAATTTCCTTACACATTTTAATTTCAATTAACATTACATATTTTATTTGCGATTGAAATTAAATATTAATAATACTGTATATCTGTTTACGCCCAATCGTCCAATACTATAGTAATAAGTACTACACAGCGGTAGATAGCTGTAAATTTTTTAGAAATAGGCATTATATTTTTTATTATAACTATAACATATA